CAAAGTTAGATGTTCAATCATATATCAAGTGGAAAAATAGTGGCGAACAATATGTTAACCTTGAATTATAAACCTTGTAAAGATGGTAAACTCTAAACGATTTCAAAAGTAAAATAATAAAAATAAAATTTGTTCAATTTTGTCAACATTTCATCGTCTTGCCATAGTGCATTGTTAAGATTACCATGCATCAATCAATTTAATTGACACTCTGTTTTGTATTGTTTGTTATGACCCATAGCTCTATTTGGAAAGAGAATCTATTTAAGATTTTTGAAAAATGATTTATCTTCAAATTTTGAAGAAAGATTTTATTTATTTATTTATTATTATAATATTTATTTTGAATTTGAAAATTGGATTTTTTTTATGTTTATGAAAAATGATTGATTTTGTAAAGTTAATATTCTTAAATTTGTTCATAAGATTGATAAAAAGGTCTTTTTTTAATTTTTAAGAAAGATTAATGTGAATATCCAATTTTATCTAGGTCCCTGTCACAAATAAATTTCAAAACAAAAAATTAAATATAATAATTTCTTTTTTTAAGAGGTTAAGAAAATAGATTAAAAAAAACTAATTTAAAATTTAAATTCAAATTTTCAATTTTTAAATGTAAAATTAGATTTAGAAATGATCAAAGTAGTTAGTAGATTTTTAGGAAAATGGGTAAAAAAGAAAAAAAATTAATTACTAGTCATCGAAAAATAAGAGAGCCTTTATTAGGATCTAAGGTTTTAGAAAAAGCCTATAAATAAAAAGCTTAGGTCTTCGGAGAGGGAGATTTTGCAGGTGGACACCTTTTATTTTCTTTACGGAGATACTCTGAGAGCACAAAGAGAAAAAAAGAGAGAATTCAAGAGAGAAAGCTTAGGAAACGAAGAGAAAGAGGAGATTAAAAAAGAGACAAAACTCAGGAAATAAAGAGAAAGAGGAGATTCAAGAGAGAGAGCTCGAGAAACAGAGAGAAAGAGGAGAGAGTTAAAAAGAAATAACTGAGAGTTAAAGCATAATCCTAGAAATCAATTGGAAAGAACATATCTAGAAGGTTGAAAGAAAAGTCGACTCAAAAACTCTGAGTCATTACAAATGAGTCAACAAAAATATAATTCATTTCTCTTCATCATTCGGTAAGAACTACTATTTCCTTTTTCTTTTGTTGTTCCTTTTTTCTTTTACTCATCATATCTTTATGTATTTTTTCTTTTGTCTGTATTAAAATGTTTTTCTTTTACAAATCTTAGTTTATCTAACCTAAAAACTTTTCCTTTTCTTATAAACCTACAAAATTTTTAATTTTCCTTTTAACTCTAAAATTTTTCTTTCTGCAAATCCCAATTTTCTTTTTTAACATGAAATATTTGTTTGTTTTGTAAAAAAAAAATTTATACCCCAAAAATTATTCCTTTTGTAAAATCCTAAAGAATCTAATTTTTCTCCAACAACCCTTTTTTAATGATAAACCCTCTTATTTTATTTTTTTTTGTAAACCTAAAAACCTTAATGTTTTTTTAACCCTAAAAACCCTCAGTCAAACCCTAAAAATAAAATCCAAATCCATGAAAATTAATTTTTTTTTCTAACTCCGAGTATTACCTTTTTTGCAAACCCTAAAAACAAACTATTTTTTTCTAACTCTAAATTATTCTTTTTTGCAAACCTTAAAAACAATATTTGTTTTTCTAACTCAAAATCATTCAATTTTTTTTTTGCAAGGTCTAAAACAAACTATTTTTTTTAACCCTAATATTTTGCAAATTATAAAAATTTAATTTTTTCAAATCTTAAAAATTTTTTCTTTTCATAAATTCTAAAACCCCTAATTCTTTGCATATCCTAACCTAAAAAAAAAAAACTTATTTCCTAAATTGAATAAGAGTTATTTACTCATTATTTTTGTTTGCTCTTGTATTTGTTTATTTGTTCTGTATGTCTCTCGCTTGTTTCTTTTTTTTTTCATGCAAAAATCTCATATTAAAAGGTATATCAACTTTCATTATTAAAAAAAGAGAGTCTTTTGAATCCACGCAACGGCCAAGTAATTTTGATAGAGTGGAAGATCCACCTTCAATGTTGCTTGGATCGTAAGGGTTTATTAAGTAGCCGTGTGCTAACTTGAACCCTGTGCAGGAGTGAATTTACTTAAAAATGATAATAATAAAGAAAAATCAAGTTTTTTACAAAAAAAAAGAAAGAAAGAAAATCTTTGAAACTTATTCAAACATAATTTTTGAAAAAGAACTACGTGGTAGCTTTGATTCTTCCGTTGCATACGGAAGACACGTAGGAGCGGAACCTGACCCGTCAAGTCCAATTTTTTTAAATTCTTTTTCAGGTTCAAAATATTTTTAAAATTATTTTAAATTAAGATTAATTTCTAGCACATTTTCTTTATAAAAATTAAAAAATAAATTTTTATTTTATTTTAAAAATAGGAAATAAAAAAATAAAGTGTTAAGATAAGTTTTTGTTTTACTATAATATTTCTTTAATACAAAAAATGAAAAAAAAGAATAATATTTTTACAAATAACTCATTCCTTCAATTCAAATAATTTTTATTGTGTTTCCTTATTTTAAAAAATGAAATTAGAATCTCTTTAAAAATTTGTAAAAATTAGAAATAAATCTAAAAATAATAATAACAACAAAATTGAAAATAGTAAAAAAAATATTAATTAGTTTCTTTTAGAGTGAAATAAATGTTTTTTAAAGTTAAAGTAAAATTTTGCACAATTAATTAGAAAGTAACCGTTTTAACCAACGGACGTCGTAAAGTGCTAATACCTTCCTTACACGTAAACGACTCCCAAGCCCAAATATGATTTCGAAGATTTTTTTTAATTAAAAGTTTTTCTAAAGTTTTTCCAGAGTTTTCTTTAATAAACTTTGGTGACGACTCCGTGTCATAGCCATCCCGTTGTGACCCCAGTTGCGACAATTAATTATTAAAATTAAAAAGATACAATTTTAAAAATTATTTTTAAATTTGTAAAAAAATATTTTTATTTTAAAATTGGGAAAAGATCTACGATTGGTATAAGAGCTCCCGATCCTGGAAGTGCCTAATGGTAGTAGCCATACGAATGGAGAATCAATTGAAGAATGATGAGTGTCAATTGGAGGGCATGCAAGCCTCCATTCAGGAGGAATTTCAGAGGCAAATGGATAAGATGTTGACGATGATGACAGCAAGATTTGAGACAGCTTTGCGAGTGGTCCGAACGAAAATGGAAGAAGAGAATAATAATCAAGAAGGAGGAAATGATGAGGGCTAAAGAAGGGAGGAACGAATGAGGCAAGTCAAGGTACCCTACTTTGTTGGAGAGGACCCCTATGAGTGAGTATACATAACGAAAAAGTACTTTAAGATAAACAACTTCTCCGAGCTGCTTCATACAGTACAATTTAATTTAAAATTGGAGAAAGAAAATATTTTTTATTTTAAAAAAAATTAGAAGAAGATCTAAATTCATCTACACATGGATCAAGTTAGTTTCACTACTTAATAAATGGTTAAGGTCCACAAAATATTAATAATAAATTAATCACTTAATTATTACTAATTAACCATTTCATGGATTTAAAATATTTTTTTAAAAATAAAAATAGATATACTCTTGTATAGACTACTCGATAAATTTGTGTGATCAAAATAATATAAGTAGATCAATTACTCAACTAATACTAATTGACCATTGCATGAATTTAAAACCATTTTAAAGAAAATGTATATTTTTTAAAAGAATTTTAGATTTTAACTATATTTTATTTTTAAAAAATAGAATTTTTTAAAATTTTATACAGTAAAAAAATCAACACAAAAAATTTGCTATTCAATAGAAATTAATTGTACAGAGAAATTATTATAAATCTAATAACAAAAGTTGGTTAAATAACAAGCGGCTCGGTATTGCTTAAGCAAGGTCTCAGATTCAAGTCTTTGTGTATACAAAAAATCTCTAGTAATAGACTTACCTGTCACATCCAAATTGCATGATCCAAATCAAATCTGAATTAAACCGAATAAAAAAATGAAAAAAAAAAGAAGTTGCAAAGCCAAACAATAATAACAACAACAAAGCAATTATTTTTTATTTATATAATTATTGAATTAGAAAAGACAGAAATTGGACCCATTATAATCAAAGCATGTAAGGCCATTATAATACTAGAAATCATTTGTATCCCAGGAATAAAAAAACAGCGAAAAATTTCATACTCAATTATGGATAGGTAGTGGATTGCTTGTAGTGTCATTGGCTCTAAAGCATAGTCGAGCAAGCAAAGAGACAGAGAAAAAGTAGCATCGAAGAGAGTGGGATGCAATGGTTGGATATGATGAATTCATACCTCTCCTTCCCTATTTCGCTATTCTCTCTTCTTTTTAATTTTTTGGACTAAGGAGATCCTATATGATTAATGTTTGTGATTTTATTTGGTGTTTGTACTTGAGTGAACGTGTGCTCGTGAAGAATTTATACAAATGCAATGCCCTCAACTAAATTTACCAAATAAATTAACAACATAAGCTGAAAGGGAAGAAGAAAAAGTGTTACTTGATAATAAGTTGAGGCCAACAAAAGAAGTTATCATCAAACACATCACTCCAGTCTAGGCCAACAATAGAAGAATATTGACTTAAGATATCACTCCGTTGATGCATAAATTAGATTGTTAACAACCTCACCTCAGATACATCCAAGTCAATTTATTCTTTGAACCATAATGGGCCTGTTGGACTCAAAAACTTTATTAGATCATAATGGGCCTATTCCAGGTGATGATTTGAACTCCTGGGCTCAGACCAAAAACAAACAAAAAACTCGTGGAGCAGAGGTGACATTTATGTGGCTTGAACCGGAGGACATTTTACCTACAAATCACCTTTTCCTAAGCTTTTTTTTTTTTTTTACTTAAAATTACATTAAATAATTTTTCTTATTTCAAATCTCCACCGTTCAATATTATTCTAGTCAATAAAAAAAATCGCTTAAACTCGGCCAAAAAGATCAGTATTACTCATGCTCAGAATTAACCCAATTGTATGTTTGTAAGACAATTCCTGTACAAAATAACACTATACTTGGAATGGCAGCACTCATGGGAAATCATGCTTCCCGTGGTGTCGGGTTAAATGCCTTCAAGATGGTAGCATTTGGATATTATATATATATGAAAAAATTCTCTATAAATTAACAAAATCTGATTATTGGGTTACCACTTGTTCTCTTGACAGATTTGTAATTGACTGATTCTTGGCTGATTATAATATAGACCGAGTCAATCAATGACAAGAGCAGCTCTGTATTCGCTTCTTTTTTCTTTGACTACGTGATAACACTACTCTAACCATCATCATCTTACCACTTATGTTGCATAATTTGTCATCTTGAACCTTTGTTGGATGAATACCAAAGCTTTTTCTGGCATATTAATATCTTTTCCTTGTCACTACCGTTGTCAGTATCTTCTTTATGACATTCCCATCGCATACCCTTGGCAATGGTTGTGATTGCATCCACAAAATAACTTGACTCACGAATGATTGCATACCCACCTGGTCGTAAGATTCGATCCATCTCTAGCAAGACATACTTCATTTCACACCTGCCACATAATATCCATTGTCAGAGCAATCCAAGCATATTTAAACATATACGTTCAGTGTCAACCATATATACAACCATATATAGTGCAAGTTAAATAAGCAGTGTTACTTCAACATCCTGTAAGCAAATCAGTTTGGTAGCGCAGAAAACTGGAAAATTAATAAAGTCGTCTAATAATCCAAGGTATTATGTGAACTAAAGCAATCTTTTCTTATATTTTCTAAAATACATTTAAGTCAATTAATGTCATTACAATTGGATTAAACCACATTCTAGTAGCTTGAAAAGGATGAGATATCTCATTGTATTAACCCAGATTGATATTCTAGTAATTAGAATCACCTAGTGATAGGAGGTCTTACATCTGGTTATTGCATCCTTTTTGGGGGTAATCTAGTTTCTTGGGAAAGCAAGAAGGCAAAGTCTGGTTGCAAGGTCTAGTTCAAATTTTAGAGTTCAAACTTCAGCCACTTGTGAACGGCTTAAACAATTGCTTAAAGAATTGAGATTAGGAGAAGTTAGACAAATGACACTTATCTGCAATAATTAGGCAGCCTCGCATATTTTCTCAAATTCATTTTTTTATAAGAGAACTATACATATTGAGATAAACTATCATTTCATTAGAGAGAAGATCCTATCCAGAGACATCATTACTAGCTTTGTAAATTTTAAGGATCAATTACCAAATGTCTACACCAAGTCTTTAAGAAGTCCTCAGATTAGTTATATATGTGACAAGCTTGGTGTATATAATTTATATGCTCCAGCTTAAGGTGAGTGTTGGAAACATATAATTATAGTAATGCTTGTAAATAAGATAATTAATATCTTAATAATTAAGGTAATTAAGTAACTATATATTTTATATTAATGATTCCTATTATAAATATATGCTCTGCTATGTAGTTTAGACACTAATTCATCCCATGTCTATCATTCTTCTTTCTCAACAGGGGCACAAGAAAAAGTGGATAAAAGAAAGAGAGAAATGGTACTAGGAAAATAACTTCTATTGACATATAAAAGGTTTACAAATCATCACATATAGAGAAGTTGGATAATGGCCTTTTAGCAATAACATATTACATATGTCCCTTCTAAGTGTTATCTATAGCATCTACAAATTAACTAAAGGACTGGCCACAAAGCGTTTCAATATTTGTCCTGCAAGTTGGGAATGATAAGATATCGATTCACCAACTTGATAGTGTTGAAGTACATGACTGTGTTTTCTGATTTAACATATTATTTTATTTCTACAGATTAATTTCCTTGTAATTAAGTTTGTTATTTGACATAATTCTGATGCTAAGATTATAGCCTGTCAATATTAGGATTGGTCTCCCTATACATGTCTAATCTTATACTTAGATATTGAAGAAACAAGACTTGTCTTATATCTTTTCATATTTCAAGTAAAATAATCTATGGTAGTTATTGTGTGCAATTTCTATGTTCAATATTATAATTTAGCTTTTGGTGCTCTATCAAAATGAGTTGACATAGTCACCTGTGGCTTTCTGTAGTGAAGAGTCCATCAAGATGAAGCAGGTCATATGTTCGAGGATATGTGGAAAAAGCTTCACACCTACCATAAAAGAATCAAATCAAAATCAGATCTTACAAGACAGAAGTATGTTCATAAATAAAATCTTTATGATTCATATACAACATTTTTCAAATTACCAGTCATGGAGTGTTCCAATAAGGCCTCGATCAAATACCACAGCAAGTGTATTGGCAGCATAAGATGAGACCACATTCATGACCCATACAGGATCATTAATCAAGGCCGCAGCAAAACCTCCATATACCGTATTCATGTCCATTACATTTCTTATCTTGTCAGTCCCAAGGTCAGGCATCAACTTCTTGTAGTATGCAACCTGCTTTTTCCACTTACTATCATCATGTTTGAAAGTACTAGCACTCCCACGATGAACCATTGAAATCCGTTCTGGTGTAACATGCAACCGCTCAGGCCACTTAGAAATGGATGATAGACCTGATTTCATAAACTTGGGATCTGGAACCACAATACAGGCACGAAGTGGTGTATACCATGCTGAATCTGGTTCAAGGCTGTCATCACATTTAGGTGGATAGGTATCTCTAGCCAACTTATTATAGCAATTGTTATCTGCGGACTTCTGCCATACAGCAATGTCACCCTTTTTATTGTACATTCTAAAACACAATGAAGTCAACAACTTCTTCAACTTCTCATAATCTGACTTTTGTGCTTCAATAGTTGTATTCCATCCACGCCACCTGCGCTCATAGTTAATTGGTGGACCAGACAAGACCCAAAATCCTCCAGGACGAAGAATCCGGTGTATTTCAAGCAGGTAAACTCCACCTATATTAAGATATCCCATCAAAGTGAATGAGAATTTAGTGAACTTCTCAGCTCTAAGCAGAAAACAAATAACAGATCATTGAGGCAGTAAGATTAGTGTGAAATTGACAGCCTGAAATAAGTGAGAAACCTAGTTCAGGGGCAAACTGTTTTTACCATTTAGTAAAATGTCCATGCTTATCTGGCCATGAAAATCGATTCAAATAGTGATTGTTTTACATTGATTGCAAGCAATGTGGTAAAAATTGCTTAGAGATCTAAAACTTCAGGTTCTAATTGAAACTGTATATCAGCCTGATTTGAAACAATCTTAGGTATTTACAACAGATGCAGGAAATCCAAAGTTTAAGCAGCCACAAACTTGAAAAGTTCACAATCACTGCAAAATGTTGCGTAAACAGGAATAACTTCTGTTTAAATACTAAATGTTCAAAATCTATGAAGAAGTACCAAATTCTGTCCATGGGATAAGGCATCTGGAGCAATGAGCCATATCAAAGGAGTTTGATGGGAATGGAAGTCTCTGTGTAGAAATGACACCAAGAATTGCAGGGATACCACGCTCGAGAGCAAATTGAACCTGAGCTTGATGGTTATCCCTTGGTGCCAGAGAAAGTGTTAGAATCCCGCGATCCAGCAAGTCACCACCCCAGCTAGCAACCTAAAATAAAGAATAGTAATGCAGGTTAATGGATGTAACACTTTTTCCTATAACATGATTGAATAATAGGACTGGATCGGAATTAGAGGAATGAAATAGGAATTATACTACTGCTACTTCCCAAATCCCTAGTTTAGTATCAGGGAGTGGCTTAATCCCCTGCTCCCCTCCTCATCTTCCTACAGTAAACTCTCTTAATAGGTGTTCTACTAACAAAACTAAAATGAATTGGTTTTCAGTTTTGGCGTATTAAATAAATTGGTTTTAAAATAAATTTACAACAAAGTTAAGAAAGCACAACTAAAAGAAGCAGCATGTCTAATTAACTAGAAATTTATTGTTTATGAAGGAACTTTGAGAAATGTAAACTGCATGTCTACTCCCTTTTCATAAAATAAATAAATAAAGTGAAAACTCACCCCACAACCGGTATCAATGGCAGTTCGAATTGTTCCATCCTTCATTTCTGGGATCAGATCTTGCATCAAATCAACATATTTACCAACCCCATTGGGGAACATAGTACCCCCACCAGGAAAGAGGAATTTCTCCCCTTCCTTTTTCAACCAATGCTGATTGGACTTCTGCTTGTTAATCCAGTCATATGGAACATTCCTGAAATTAGACATAACAGACAACTTGAAGAAGTGGTGAAATAACAATTGCTGGAAACTTAAAGTAAGCGAACCTCTTATTTTTAACTCATAAGGCATATATAATACCTGTACCAACATTCATCTCGGCTCTTTGGCCATCTAATTGGAGGCTTATACCCATCCGGGGGAGGAACTAAGCATTCTTTCCTCTCAAATTTTGGAGGGCAATGGCGTTCCAACAAAGTAAGCCGATAGGAGCCATACTTCCTCCATCTCTGCAAATTTAAGCACACTTAATCGATAAGGAAAAAAAATTGCTACAAATCCTACAGCATCAAAAAGTGGAAACTAGAAGGAATTTTACCCTAGGGTCTGTGCACGGAGTGTAATCTTGATAGTCAATGCTGCATTCAGGGAAACTGACGTATTTAATTTGCAGAGAACCTATTGATGATTCCCTGGGGGATTCAACAGATTTCTGACTGTAAATTGACACAAATCTGTCCTTCTCAGAACAAAATATTATTCCCATATAGAATGAAAATCCACAAAGCACCACAAATATGATTGCCATAGGGAAAATCCTGCTTTTGTCTGGCTGGGTCACTGGTTTTCCATCTTTATTGTTCATCGTCAGTAAAATAATGAACTATCTGCAGAAATGAAATATACTCCACATCACTAAAATTGAAATACGCAAACTCCTCCCTCAACTCATGTATCTTTTAAAAACAGATAAAACCAACGCTTCAAATAAAAAAAGATTCATGTCTCATTCAAAATAGTCAGTTGTCATTATTTATCAAACATAGATAATCACTAACCAAAAAGGACACTTGTAACACACGAGATTCAAGAGCCACTCTAACCACCCAGAAAGAAATGAAGGTTCTGTTAGTTCTCTGTTTTGCCCCGGTTAATAATAATAATAATTCTAATAATAATCAGAATACTGAAAAGAAGAGAAGATAGAACTGGTTTCCTATCTATTCCAGGAACAGTACAAGTATACCACTAATGAACTACGGGCTCATTCAACACCAGAAAGCCATTTAATCTAAAAATTATCAAAGCACCCTAGTTTAACTACTGAAGTCAAAGAAGAACAATGCATGAACAGCATTAGATTACATCAATAAAAGAAAGCAACAAAAACTAAGTAATCAATAATCCATAAAGAAGAACATCATTCTGGATAGTACACACCAAAACAAAACTTAAAAACACTATCACCGATCACTACAAACAGGCCAGTGGGAGAAGACACAAATTCCCAAGATTGATCCGTATTGTGGAATCAAAAAATGGCAAAGAAAATAAAGAAGAAAGGGCATCACGTAACAGTAACACAAAAATAATCTCTGACAGCTGTGTGAGTGCAACATTTGAAAAAGTGTAAAGACCAAAGAACAGTGCATTTTGCTCAATAAAACAAAAAAGAGAAATTTAAATAATATTTAAACCCCCGTCTCAAGACATGTAAAACGAGAAAAAAGAAGAAAGCTTCGATGATAATAATTAATAAAGAAAACACCCCGAATAAGCACCACTACAGTCACATGAAGAAATCAGATCTGTGACACGAGATAGAAACATAATCAGAGATCAGATAGAAGAAGAGAAAGAGATAAGGAAGATGCTTACTGGTTCTCCGTTGCCTCTGCCTCTTTTGTGTTTGAAAGAATGATGAGAAACGCGAAAAGTAAAGAGAGAGAGAGAGAGAGAGAGAGAGAGAGAGAGAGAGAGAAGAGGAACAAGAACTAGGAAGAAAAAGAGTCCATGCAGCAACTAAGTCAGATAGATACCAAACGCAAAGACTAAACTGGCTCCACTCCACCGCAGTATATATAAAAAGCACATAACCATGTGCTAGCTGTCCCATGTTTGCGTTCAATTCAACCAACCTATTCCTTCTTTTTCTTCTTTTTGCAATTAAGGCGTTTTTATTGTTAAAACAAATGTTGAATACTTCCTAATTTTTTATATTTTACGTTTGGGAGGGTCTGCTAAAAAAGTATATAATTACATAAATTAAATATTCATTTAATTAAAAAATGAAATATTATATTATCATATAAATTTAAAAAATATGTAAAATATAAAACATTAAGATATGTAGTAATGTAGTATCATTATATTGATCATGTGAGGTGACATGACTATTGTATAACCTAACGCGCTGAAAACAAATCAGCGCCACGTTGCCAAAAATTATTTATGATGCATTGAAAGGAGTTTATAAGAAAAAAAATAATTTACATTTCAAAAGTAATTTATTAAAATAATTTAAGAAAAAAAATAATTTACATTTCAAAAGTAATTTATTAAAATAATTTTTCAAATTATTTTAATAAATTTAATTATCAAATTTAAAATATAAAATCGTATACAATTAAAAAGATAAATTAAATTTTTTAACCAATATCGTAAAATAAGATATTAATTGACGAATTAATAAATAGAATATTTTTATTAAATATTAAGATAAATATTAATTAATAATATTTTAATTTTAATTGTAAATTAATATTCTAAGTTTCCTCTTTGCCAAAAGAAAATAATACTCTAAGAATATATATTAGAATTTATCTTAAATTATAAGGCGAAAATACGTAAAAAAATTGAGCCTAATTTTAATCATATATATATATATATATATATATAATATGACGTTAAAAAAATAAAAGCATGACAAAGCAAATAGAAGGCATTGATATAGGCGGAGAAAGAGAGGGATAAAGTGGGGTGCGAGAGTGCAATTATATGGAAGAGATAGCGCTACCAAACATATATGTTAAGGTGAAAACAATAAATTGAAGTTTCTCACAGAACGAGGCATTAAAACGTGTGCCAACGTATATTACAATATAAGACAATTATCTCTTTATAAAATATCTCTACCCTTTTTAATATAAAATATCCTTACCTTTTCGTTTACACTTTACACTCTTTTAAAATACTTTGAATATCTTTATCTTTTAAAATAGTTTTCTTTTTTTTTTAAAAAAAGACATGCTCTTTTCCTTTACACTTTATATTTATAATATTGTTAACGTGTTACTGGAAAAAATATTACTTACTGTTTTATAATCATGTAAATCATTACATTACTATTTAAAAATAATGTTTTAATTGATATCTTTAAATTAATGGATGAAAAATTCATAAATAATATATTTTTATTAAATATTATATTAAAATTATGAGTGAATTTTTTTAACCAATAATTTTAGCATATTCTTTAAAAAATATGTGAAAAAGATTATATACCTATGTTGAAAATATAATTATGAATAAAATAAACAACAAGAAGAATTTATTTTCGATTAATTGGTGTTGTAGATCATAAAGATTAAATAATAATATTAAGTATATATAAATCATGTTAAAAAATTAAATAAAACAACAAAAATAACAATTATTTAAATGTATTATAATATTAACATAATATTTAACATTGAATTAACTAATTTCATTTTAAATAGACAAAAAAGGAGAGACAGCACAAATTACAAAAAAGGAAAACAAATTGTGTCCAATGCACGGAAACATAAGAGTAGGTGAGAAAAAGTATAAAGTCTACCTTAATATTTAATTTGTTTTGACTGACTTAAATAGAGAGAGAAGTAAAAAGAATGAATGTAATTAAATTGTTTTTCAATTAGTATTTTATATACATGTAGAAATACAAAATTATTATAATAAAAAAATTAGTCAATTAATTTTTTATCTTTACAATAATTTAAAATAAATATAATCTTTTAGTTTATTTTTATATTATTTTATTCATTCCAAAAATAAGATATTTTTTTTATCTATTTAAATATTGCATTTTTTAATCTTATTTCTACTCTAATTTTTATATTCTTTTTTATTTCATTTCTAATCCAAATAAATAATTTTTTTTTCTGTCTAATAAACAGGAAAAATGTAGAATATTTTTGTCTTTTACAAGAAAATATTATTTTTCTCTTTGAATTATTTTCTTATGCTACCAAATTAGCAGAAAAATAATAAAAAATATACTATTTTTTATATTTTTATAAAAGTATAACCACAATAAGAACATAATCAAATATTATTATAATGCATTTGACTAATTAATTTATAAGTATGCTTGATAAAAAAAAAATTGTTCATATAAGTATATCTTACTAATGATATTATAATACTTTTATATTTTAGTTGGAGTGGCATTTAAAACTTATATATATATATATATATATATATATATAATCATTTTACTTTTATCAACTAATTTTATTAATAAAACAAGTTAACAACTTATAACTTTTACTCAAAAATTTGCTTCTTAACTTTTTGTTAATTATACATATGAACTAACTTATTAGCTATTTTAGTTACTCATCACCAAAGAGTAAAAAAGTTTAGATTTTAAAATTTTAGAGATAAAATTTATATGACAAAACTCTTCATGAATTTTGTAAAATAATTATATATTTATTTTTAAAATAAGTATTTTATTAAGTTTCATTTTTTAAAAACATAATCTTTGTCGTGTTAAATTATTTCAAAAACATATTTGTTGGTTATTTGTTAAGTATAAAATTATAATTCATTAACATATTCTTTTATTAAAACAAGTGAAATATATTAATAAATTCTTTCTTGCATGACTGTTACGTTAGGACACAAAAAAATTTAAAATTAAAAAAAATATATAAAGGGACAACAAAGGTGCATGATCAGTCACTGAATAAAAATAAGATGTAACCCATCTTTGTGATATTATTAGAAATATATATATATATATATATATATATATATATATAAAATAAAAAGAAATAAAGAAATTGTCTATAAAAGAACGATAATGAGCTCCCACTGTTTTACTTTCACAAAAATTAAAAATGTTTCGTTAAAGTCAAATTATTGCTTCAACAATATAATTACTTCTTTGCTTATATGAAAATAATGATTTAATTTTTTTAAAATAATAAATTGTGTAAAGTAAAAAATTACTATTAATTATAATATTTTAAAATTAAAATATTTTATAAATATATAATTAACTTTAAATTATTAATGGTTAAACTCTCACTGCAATGAAAAATAATGGAACATGATGATTGTTACAATGATAATCACAAAGCATTGCTGAGGTTTTCTAAATTTTAGTAATGACACTAAAAGAAAATGCAAGGATCTTTATATTTCGTGTGTTCTGCGTTATTGCTCATCATTCAGAAATGAATCATGATGCAGGTCACAAAATGATTTCCAACGGCAAAGTTAACCTAATTTTAATCAACGTGCAATTAACCAATTCATTAGCGAAACGCCTGTATTACGTAACAAAGAACTTAAAAGTATCATATTAATTAACAAAATGAGTAAGAATGATTAGTGTTGCAAAAAGTAGTCACCAAATTTTAATGTATTTTCATTGTTTTTTTTTTAAGAGAAAAATATACATTGTTCTATTAAATCTTTAGCTGTACGCGAAATAATTTCAAACTAAAAATATTTTACAAAATGTTATGATAATTTAAAATGATTTTAAATTTTTACTTTCAATAGAAAGTTTGTTTTTATAGAAACATTTTTAGAAGAAAAAAAAAAGAAATAAAGTAATTATAATTATTTTAATAAATTAAAATTAACTTATACAATTCATGTTTTTAAGATGTTGATTGAAAAATTTTCTAAAACTATAGGTTAAGTTTAACTAATAAATTTTTTTTTATTTTTTTTATTTTTTCATATATACTTGTTGAAAAGTTACTTCAAACTAAACCCTAATCTTTAATAGTTTAGAACCATAATCAATAACATATCACCAACATTAACTTAATATTATAACTATATCAATAATGCAACTTTTATCAATTTAAATCATAGACTAATTTTATTATTATAATTTAAAAATTTTATTTTCTTACAAGACCCTTTGTATAATTTAAGATTTAATTAAGTGAGACGTTCTATTTCTTTTTCTTTAATTACTTTAAATTTTGTTTCTTGTTAAGAATTTATTTATAAATAAATAAAATTACTTAGCATGGCAAAGTAATAGAGAGTAAGGACTAGAGTTTAAAAGATTAGAGCTTACCTTATGGTTTGATTCTTAAAAGTTTTTATCTCTCACTTGAAGCTTAATCTTCATTTTTTTTCCTATGTTTCTAAGTATTCTTCTAAAAATTTATACTTTAAAAGGGGGGAAAAATCAAAATCTATTGTAAATCTCAAAGAGAATTAATCTTTAAGGTTTTAGGAATACAAAAATACTTAAGTTAAAATAGTTTTGAGAAAAGAAGAATAAAAGTTGAATCTTTTTTTAAGAAATTTAATAAGATTTAAACTTAAGAAACATGTTAGAAAAATACACTTAGAGGTTTATACTAATTCACCCTCAAATTCAAAGGTTACTTCTAATCCTTGACATTGTATCAAGAGTTTAACAAAAATTACAACAAGTATCTCTTATTCTAAGCAGTTTTACAATAGTCTCTCTAGGTTTAAACAACTTCAAGTATTATTTTTTTACTTTGTCTATTTAGGCGAGAAACAAACCACACTCAAAATGTTTCCAACATTGTCTCACTAAGCAAAACAATAACTCCATACAAAGAGAAATCTATAGTAAGAGAAACAACAGTTTGAGAAAGATTGGTTTCTTTTTTTAAGTATTTTTACTTCTCAGTAACATCTACTACACTTTTTGAATGGAACTATCTTTTATTTGTAGATTCTAAAAAGTGTTAAACACCTTATTTATCTCTTAAATACAATATATTACTTTTCTATGTTCCTTTCTATTGTATCTCAGTTCTTTTCATATTATGTGTACTTGTGAGT